TCTCAGCATGTCTTACACATAGTTCAATATACAGATCTCAGCATGTCTTACACATAGTTCACTGATGGTGGAGTTGTAGACTTCAAGAAGTGTTGTCAGTATTGGACACTGTAGAGTGTGTGGTATATACAGATCTCAGCATGTCTTACACATAGTTCAGATCAAGTCATGTTTTAATCAACATTCAGATTGGTTCCCGCCTCGAGTCTTTATGTTATGTCATCATTCAGATTATCTGCTGTAAATATCTCGTCAAGAGAGCCATGTGTTCTGAGAATGGAATGGCATGTTGAACGTCAGCCATCATGTTATGTTGTTGGTGCAAGCTAGCATCATTAATGTATCTGTGCATCACTCTTGGATGAGCATAACGGCAGTTCCTTCACTCATACTTTTATCTCCAAAGATTTATTTTTTTAAAATTCAAAGCTGTGAGCGAGCCCCCTAGTGTTACACGAGGTTTGGGATTGGTAGAGTTGTGTTCCGTAGAGACTGATGCCTCCAGTCTGATTGTATTTTCTCGAACCTGGAGGGGGGTGGGAGGTGCATACTCTATTTTTTAGACACATTACATGTTAGCTGCACCTTTGTCCTAGTCACTTTATGACTTGGATGTTACGTGCACTGAGCACTGCACCTTTTTGAAAACCGTGGGTCTGCCCCACACATCTTTTTCTTGTTTCTGTTAAAGTGAATGTTATGACTGAGTCCCAGTGTTAGCAATTAACCTATTAAACTTCAAAAGAGTATACAGAAGTGTTTTTCATGAAAAAAAAAAATATCTGTTGACTATGAGCTCTTCATAGACATTAAACTATGTGCTGGCAAGACTGAAAGTGATTTATATGCTACTCAAAAGAGTTAAGAACACCAGATCCTGTCAGGACAGATTGATGTAGTAATATGAATTACAGATGTATCTTAGTGATATGAGTGTGTGAATGAGTTTAGTTTTTGACTCAATAAGCCCAGCCTTGCTTTAAAAAATGATACATGGGTAATGAGTGAGTAAGTTGACTTTTACTCCGCTTTTAGCAATATTCCAGCAATATCACAGCATGGGACACCAGAAATGCGTTTCACACATTGTACCCATGTAGGGAATCGAACCTGGGTCTTCAGCGTGACAAGCCAATGCTTTAACCACTAGGCTACCCCACCGCCCCCTTAGTGTTCTTTAACATGTTTTGAGTAGTATGTATCAGTTTGAGATATATTAATTTTTGCTGATGTATATTACCACTAATTTTATCATATTCTTTGATGTATGGGTTGGGTGGTGGGGTAGCCTAGTGGTTAAAGCATTTGCTTGTCACATCGAATACCCAGGTTCGATTTCCCACATCATGGGTACAATGTCTGAAGCCCATTTCTGGTGTCCCCTGCCGTGATATTGCTGGAATATTGCTAAAAGCGGAGTAAAACCATACTGACTCACTCACTGATGTACGAGTAGCACCATGGTCTATGATGATATGCAGGGTTATGTCCCTTCCCATACCAGAATATTTGATTCTAACACAGTAAATAATTGGATCTGTGAAGATCCGGGTTAGAATTGATCATCAGTAACCCATGCTTGTCGTAGAAGGTGACTAACGGGACCAGGTGGTCAGGGTTGCTGACTTGGTTGACACATGTCATATCCCAATTGCGTAGATCGATGCTCATGTTGTTGATCACTGTATTGTCTGGTCCAGACTCGATTGTCTACAGAACACTGCCATATAGCTGGAATATTGCTGAGTGCAGTGTAAAACTAAACTAAATCAGTAAATAATGGAGTCTCCTTCAGATAATCAAGTGATTGATACCATGAACATCATTATGTGCAGATAGGATACAACATGCATCAATCAAATTAGCATGCCTGACCATCCAATGCCATCAGTCTCTTTTTTAACAAGCATTGGTTGATGAAGACCAACCGTTATTTGTCAGAATTATCACAGTAGACTCAATTAATATGAGCAGCATGTATGTAAATGAACTCCTTAAGTACCATTGATCTGAACTTAATGGGCAGAATAAGGCAGCAAGTGCTTCATATATTGCAAAACATCAGCAAATGGATTCTTCTCAGATGTAAAAACATTCTACATCACCTGTTTACTTAAAATACCAAATTGATTTTCTTAGAAACATAAGGATCTATATAATGTTTTTAATGATTGAAACCAGCATGTAATATGCCTGCTGAAAAAGGACACAACTTTTGACTTGGTTTGATCCATACATGAATATGGAAGAACAAAATGTGGTATATTGATCAAGACAAGAATAGGCATTAAGTTGAGATGCCTGACAATGAATTTAAGTCACTTACTACAGAAAGGAGATGGGATTTGTACTGCAGATTGATACCCAATCAATGCTCGTGTTTGCAATGCACTATGGGACAAGTTTGTCTTCTGTGTACAGCAAACATGGCTAGGTATGGCTTGTGTGTTGATGTGGAAACAGCCTGAAACACCAGCTGTGTCCATGGGCATTAATGTTGATGGCTATTATCTTATGTATGCTGGACAGTCCAGCTGAGACAATATTAGTTGTAAGGAAAGCAGAGTACTGTTTTCCTACCACTGTTGTTTAAGTTCCTGATATGACCAGTGAAGATCTGGGTTGGAATTGATCTTCAGCAAACCAGGCTTGCTGTGAGAGGTAACAGACGTGAGTTGGTGGTCATATTCGCATAGATCGTTGCTCCTGATGTCAATCACTGGATTGTCTGGTCCAGATTGATTACTTAAAGACCACCTATAGCTTCAAAATTGATGCTACACAGACAGGCGAAAATAGTTTTATGTGTTTTTGGCTTTATCTGATACAGTCACTGATGCAAGAAAATCTTGAATAAGCAAGCTTCCCAAGGCATCAGTAATAGTAATAGTCCGCTTATATGGTGCTCATATCCATTGCCTGCTCACTGCGCTACGTACATTACTATCCCTGGTCATAGGACACAATCATATTTTCCGATACTTTTTCAACTCCCTGGTGATCATACAGCAATGCTGCCTATTAGGCGCAATGAATTAAACACTCACATTGCCAGCACATCCTCACAGGTACCCATTTTACAGCTGGGTGAACTGAGACAATGTTGATCTAAGTATCTTGTCCAAGAGTACTACGCAAATGTGCCCACCTCGGGACCTGAATCTAGGTGCCTCCACTGGGGATCGAACCCGGGCCTTGATAGGCAGACACCTTACCACAGCATTAACTGCCCATGGGTGTGAACAGTTGATTTGCCTTTGCATGTGTTTGTGACAGCCTTCAGTGGGGCAGGATTTTGAGGGCAGAGTGGGCAAGCCTTCTAGTGGGTTGGTTGGTAGTAAGGTGTGATGTTGTCTAAGTTTACTTATCGTACCTTGGGTTGAACCAAACTCACTCACTCTGTATCAAAGGAGTCCTCTGAAAAGATGTGGATGAATGGCACAGTGGTTCTACTGAGTTTAACTAACAGTAACACCGTGTAAACACATTCCCTCAGTGAATGAGAAAACCTCATAACTTGTTTAAAACTAGAGTTTTCTTTATGTGATTGAGTGTTTGTAAGCAGGTACACCATTTGGAAGTCATCATCTGACGATGATGTGTTACTAAGTAGGTATTGTTTTTTGACTCGGCAAGTATTTCACACTAAAAACAGATTATCAATATATCTGTTAGATCTTTTTACATTAGAAAGACTCATAGGGTGCAATTTCTCTTTGGTTCCAGATATGCATCTGAGAAGAATTTTAGTTCTTTTTAGACGAAAATGCACAGTTTACATTCCATGTTTCTAATCAGGTGAATGCTGACATCTTTCATAGGCAGTTACAAGAACATGAAGACTCAGCACTTGTGATGGATGTAGCTCATATACACTTTCTCAACAGTTATCTGATGACAGGACAACTTGTAGCCATGAATCACTGTTACAGACAATAAAGATGCTATTGAAAAAATGTGTGATATATGCAGGTGATAGATTTGTGCCATACAAATTCATGCTTCCATCCTTTTCAGTCTGTAGATAGTGTTAACTTGTGTCTTGAGTGTAAAAAATACCACTATCTGGCTTCAGTCACAAAGAGTAGAATGATGTCATCTGATTGTGATTGCACTGTGATCAATGATGTCATCACAATGGTCTGCCCCCAAGCATTGTCATGCAATGTCATCACTGTGACATAACCAAAGAGATACTGCTGATGGTGACCTTACTGATATCTATTTGCCGGATCTCACCCAAGTGACACTGGATGCTTGTTATCTCTGGGTTAAAACTGGTCTTCAGTAACCCATGCTTGTCGTATGAGGCGACTAACAGGATCTGGTGGTCAGGCGTGCTGACTTGGTTGACACATGTGATCATATCCCAATTTCATGGACTGATGCTCATGCTGTTGATCACTGGATTATTTATGGACTGCCTCTATATACTGGCAAACAAGGATATGTTGGACGGGCGCAGAAAACTCGTTTACAAAAGTAGGCGGTGCAGGGCAATGAGCAAACCCATTTGTTTGTGAAAGGTAGAGCAGATGTAGGCTAGTGCACGTGCATTGCATGACGATGAAATTGTTTCCGCACGTAGCTGCACACGCCTTGCTCGTAAGACTCTCACGTCGGTGTAGCAAGTCGCACTACACTTGATCAAGGACAACCTGGGGCCCCTTCGCTAACAATGGCAAGCGCCAGTGGGCGGCACTCGTACATGCTAATACGGGTCAATTGTCAGGTAATGCTCAACTTCTTGTTTGCCAGTAGCTGGAACATTGTTGAGTGTGGCGTAAACAACAACCAACCAACCAATCCCAGCAAAATAATATTCACTGGAAGCCTATTTGTTTGGGATGGTAAGTTGCAGATGAAAGAATGGACTGATGAATGGAAAGATAGATGATAGACAGAAAGATATACACATCTGCAGAAATACTTTTGATTTGGGGATACTATTCTTCTGGAGAATAATGCTGTTTTCTAAAGTGATTGTTTATGTTTTTCAGTTAAGGCTTCAACATACAAGCATCAGCGATGTCCACGGCAGACATATTGCCTTAATGGAGGCACTTGCAGATACATGGAGAGCTTGCAGAAAGAATTTTGCGAGTAAGTAAATTAATAGAGGTGTGGGCCAACGATGAAGAGATAATGTATACTTCTTTTCTTTGTTGACCATTTATTCTCATGAACTTAAGTGTATATTTCCTCAGATGTGTTGTTTCAATGTGCATCAAATGTTATAACTGTTTAAATTTGATTTTAATTATGATGTTCACTACTTTGGAAGAAAATATAAATTGATATACACAGTTGTTTTTTTAATTGAAAAATACATGTATTTTGTCAATACAATTTATTGATGATGATGATTTGCCATCGCGGTTTCATTAATTCAGATTCATTCTGCCTTGTACATGGTATTCCAGGGTTTATTAACCTTCATGATAGACTGGTTAGATTAATATTGGGTGAAGGGACAAACTAACAACATGTGTGTTTTTCAAAATGCTGCACATTTTCACATTTAGTGATTCAAAATGTAAGATTATAATTTTGAACCTGTTGTAATGTATTTTCTTCTTTAACCAGTCTTTGTTATGTAAAATAGATACTACATAAAGTTGTCTACGGGTGTTAATGTACGCAGGTGTATTAGTGTACTCTAATCATCTATTTCAGTAACTTTTTTAGACTTTTTCATGAACTCTCTTCCCTGTGCATGTTAAAATACTTTCTTCAACTTCAGCTATCTTAGTGTAATATGAGTATTATATTTCCTTTTCTTCATAATTTTAGTTCTTTTAGTGGATATGAGTTATGTATGTTTTAATTTAAGAATGCATTTTCATACTTGTATCTATGAACAATTTACTGGTTGAGTTCATCTGGACAAAGCAAGGGGGCACAGGTGACAAATCTGAGCAGCCACATTTTGCTCTGCTGATTGGTAACCCATAGTCTGGTCTGGATTGTCTGGTCATGGGTTTGAATCCCAGTTATGTCTGGATTGCCATCTCTACTCAAGTTGGTGGATCGAGCTGACATGTTGTGTGAAGTGGTCACACATTGACCTCTTGTAAACAGAAAACAAAACTGATTGGAATCTCTTGGAATCTCTTGCAAAGTCAGAACTCCCATCTTTGATAGTTTAGACTGACTGGTGGGGTTGTCAGTCTATGATGTCATCCAATGGGCAGACATGTGGGTATGTCAGTCTATAGTATTATCCAATGGGCAGATAGGTGGGTATGTCAGTCTATAATGTCATCCAATGGGCAGACATGTGGGCTTGTCAGGCTATAGTATTATCCAATGGGCAGATAGGTGGGCTTGACAGACTATAATGTCATCCAATGGGCAGACATGTGGGCTTGACAGGCTATAGTATTATCCAATGGGCAGATAGGTGGATATGTCAGTCTATAATGTCATCCAATGGGCAGACAGGTGGGCTTGACAGGCTATAGTATTATCCAATGAGCAGATAGGTGGATATGTCAGTCTATAATGTCATCCAATGGGCAGACATGTGGGTATGTCAGTCTATAATGTCATCCAATGGGCAGACAGGTGGGCTTGACAGGCTGTAGTATTATCCAATGGGCAGATAGGTGGATATGTCAGTCTATAATGTCATCCAATGGGCAGACAGGTGGGCTTGACAGGCTATGGGCAGATAGTGGATATGTCAGTCTATAATGTCATCCAATGGGCAGACAGGTGGGCTTGACAGACTGTAGTATTATCCAATGGGCAGATAGGTGGATATGTCAGTCTATGATGTCATCCAATGGGCAGACAGGTGGGCTTGACAGACTGTAGTATTATCCAATGGGCAGATAGGTGGATATGTCAGTCTATAATGTCATCCAATGGGCAGACAGGTGGGCTTGACAGACTGTAGTATTATCCAATGAGCAGATAGGTGGATATGTCAGTCTATGATGTCATCCAATGGGCAGACATGTGGGTATGTCAGTCTATAGTATTATCCAATGGGCAGATAGGTGGGTATGTCAGTCTATAATGTCATCCAATGGGCAGACATGTGGGCTTGACAGGCTATGTATTATCCAATGGGCAGATAGGTGGATATGTCAGTCTATAATGTCATCCAATGGGCAGACAGGTGGGCTTGACAGGCTATAGTATTATCCAATGGGCAGATAGGTGGATATGTCAGTCTATAATGTCATCCAATGGGCAGACATGTGGGCTTGACAGGCTATAGTATTATCCAATGGGCAGATAGGTGGGTATGTCAGTCTATAATGTCATCCAATGGGCAGACAGGTGGGCTTGACAGACTGTAGTATTATCCAATGGGCAGATAGGTGGGTGTGTCAACCTGTTGCATAAGTCAATGGGCAGAGTATGGGATATGTCAATCTATAGTGTTAGCCAATTGGAAGATAGGTGGGTTGACAATCTATGGTTTTATCCAATGGGCATACAGGTGGGTGGGACAATTTATGGTGTTAACCAATGGGTAGACAGGTATATGTGTCAATCTGTGGAGTTATCCAATGGGTAGACAGATGGGTGTGCCAACCTATGGTGTTAGCTAATGGACAGAAGGTTCCTGTGTCAACCTTAAGTGTTAGGCAACTGGAAGATAGGTATGTGTGCAAACTACGGTGTTATCCAATGGGCAGACAGGAGGGTGTGTCAATCTGTTGTGTCAGCCAATGGGTAGACAGGTGGGTGTGCCAACCTATGGTGTTATCCAATGGGCAGACAGGTGGGTGTGTCAGTCTGTTGTGTCATCCAATGGGTAGACAGGTGGGTGTGCCAACCTATGGTGTTAGCCAATGGGCAGACAGGTGGGTGTGCCAACCTATGGTGTTAGCCAATTGGCAGACAGGTGGGTGTGCCAACCTATGGTGTTAGCCAATGGGCAGACAGGTGGGTGTGTCAGTCTGTTGTGTCAGCCAATGGGTAGACAGGTGGGTGTGCCAACCTATGGTGTTAGCCAATGGGCAGACAGGAGGGTGTGTCAATCTGTTGTGTCAGCCAATGGGTAGACAGGTGGGTGTGCCAACCTATGGTGTTAGCCAATGGGCAGACAGGTGGGTGTGCCAACCTATGGTGTTAGCAAATGGGCAGACAGGTGGGTGTGTTGGTGTATGGTGGACACCTCTAACATGTCCAATTCTAACACAGATGCCCAGAGTCTTACAAGGGTGAGCGCTGTCAAGAACTTGAATCATCCAGTGTTATTGGGACTGGTAGGCATGACAAATACTTCTACGGACCAGGTTCGGAGGCCAAGTTGATCTTTAGCATGGCCTGTGATAGACATAGTTCAAATAATTTGAACTAAAAATAATGATAAATGTTTACTTTTGCTTTAATTTTTAAACTTTGCATGGTTCCCTGTAGTTAATTGCATGGAAAAAGTGACAATATTTGTTTACTAATTATACTGAAATAGTCTAAACTTTGTATTCTGCATGGAAATGTTTCATTTTCAAAATTATTTTGTGAAGATTTTGTTTTGAATATTTGACTTTGTCAGAGCAGATTTGTGATTAAAGATCAACTTACCTTGGACGGGAAGAATGACCTCCCCTAGTTTTGAACTCCTCATTTATATATGTGTATTTAATCAACTACTAACAGCTGTAGCACTGACAATGTGGTGTTCATAACAAAGTAGATCAACAACTGTACTTCTAAAGTTGAGTTTCAAGTTGACCAAATGTGAAACTAACCTAGGCCTGCAGATGAATGCAAATTTATTTGAACTGAAAAGGTTCTTGCATGAGCTTCAAAATTGTGAAATGTTTTTAATGTTTGTGAAATGAGCATGCGCTTTTATGATTCATCAGCAATACTTCATGATAAATGAGTTGTTTGTTTTATTGAAAAACAACAAGAAGTAAATTTACTTTTTAGTAAATAAGAATTATATGTCAGTATTGATTTAGCTGGTACAATGTTTTGATACACTTTGTTATATATACCATTACATTCAGCAGTCTCACGGTGTTATTTGGTGTAATATTCTTTCCGGCAATATTATGGAACCTTATAGCATTGCCAGGCTGTTGGCGTCATGCTTACTCATCCAACCAGTGTCCAGCTTGCAAGCAGATCATGTGACTTAGCCAGAGGTCAAGGTCATTTGCGTGCCGTGTTGCTTGTGGTTTCACATCCATGCTGTCATTATTTCAACAATTTGCTAAAATCACAAAATCTTACTTGAACACTTTTAAATTAATTGTTTTCATATAAATAAAAAATAAAAACTTCTTTTAAATCAAAAATATATATGAAAGGGTAAGGTATATTTTATTATTCTTCATTTTCTCGGCTTTAAAACACATTCTCTTATGTTGGCAAGAAACTTGTTTTGAACGTTTCTCAACATGATTTTGCTTACTTGTTGGAAAAATGACAGTTTCATTTTTTTCTCCTGTAACATGGCATTCATCACTCCATCTGTCCATATGTTCATCCTGTCACTCCAAACTCACTTTGTTGCCCTTGCTGCTTTCACAAATCAGGTGTCCAGAAAATTGGGCGGGGCGCCGCTGTGAGCTCCAGGATATCTTCAGCTTAGGGCCAGACTATAACAGTATGTATTCAAATGTAACTTCTTGCTTGATATCGGTTGGCACCATTTTGTGCCAACGATCAATTTTGTTCTACAGGCATGATGTCAAACATTTTGGTTTCAATTTTATTTGAAGATTTCAGTTCTGTATGTACTGTGCTGCATGGTTGGAAATAGTAATTTTTTGGTTTAAGTTTCAATTTGTTGATTAGGTGTTTTGTTTTATTTTGCATGACATTTTGCAAATATTTTTGTTTTTTGGGGTCATTGTAAATAATTTTGTGCATGACCTTTCAAATTATTTTTGATATATGACACCATATACTTATTAATGTGTCATTCTGTAAATTTCAGTTGTAACGGGTATGTTTGAGTTCTCAGTCCAAAGACTTCTCCCTTATAAGAGGGGATGTTCTTACAGGAATATTACTTTCATATTAATAAGCTAGCTTTTTTCTGCACTATTAACAGCTGGTTATTTTTAATCAATTATTTATTATACAGGATTCAAACTAGTTGGCTTTTAAGGCCATGAAACATCAGTTGCTATAAGGAAGACATTTCAAGGTGTTGGTGAATTTTTCAGGAATGAACTGAATCTTTGCCATCTCAAAACTCCTCTCCAGCATGATGACAAACCTGTCTTCAAATCGTCATAATTGCAATGAATCACTAAACATTCTGGAATGTCACTTAAAATTATTCTAAACTTGTTTCATTTTCAATCATTTCTCATGGATGCACGGCTTATGAAATATATATTTGCAATTAGCATATTCTTCACTTATAAGATATAGAAAAGTTAGAAGCTTGAAATATGACTGCCACTTAGCCTGCAAACTGGTATCCAAATAGGAATAATGTATGGAGAATGTAGAAGGGCTGTTATAGAACTGAAGCTGAATCTTGCACATCTTTAAACTTTCTCACTTCACATGGTCATGCTTCGGGGGTTTAAGCTTGCACTGTTACTTGTCTCGTTTCTTCACTTCATTTACACAGAGTCATTTCATGTGTCTTTGTCACGCTTTCTTCGATGCATGTGTTTGCCATTTTCAATATTCAATTATAGTTATTACATTTATGCGTAACGTTTTCTTGACTGAATTTGTCAGCTGAATACAAGAACTGATAACTGAATAATTTTGTTGCAATTGAATAAGAATGTGCACATAAGCATTAAGTATGAATTTGATATATGTGTTTTTGTAATTGAAATGTTAATGATAATGTGCTGGATCAATATTTTGGATATTTTGTTAATTCCTGTATTACTGTATTAAGTTTGCCACAAGTACCATTTGCATGAGTAATCTCCCCTGTGTCCTACACCATGGTAACCATGCTGTCGCTATGGAGGAATGTGTTTACAATGACAATTCCTTTCAAGTGTAAATATGATTAATTGTTTTGCAAAGCAACTAATACCATTCCAAAGCTAATTGAGTTAGTTAGCTAAATATCAATAGTTTTATGTCAAGTGACCTGGTTTGACACCTGGTGTTTAGATAAAATGAGTTGTCTTGAATTACTGATACATTTGTTTCGCTTCATTCAGGTAGAGAGGCATTTAATGTCTGGCTAGATTTGGGTTAAGAGGCATTTCAGGTTGCACCAGATTCAGATAGAGATGTATTTCATGTTTGGCTAGATTTGGGTAGAGAGGCATTTAATGTCTGGCTAGATTCAGGATGGGTGTCATTTCATGTTTGGCTAGATTGAGGTAGACAGGCATTTCGTATTAGACTAAATTTGGGTAAAGAGGCATTTCATGTTTGGCTAGATTTGGCTAGAGAGACCTTTAATGTTTGGGTAGAGAGGCATTTCTCGTTTGGTTCTTGGGTTCTCAAGTAATCAGTCTGGCATGTCTGTGATACCTGCCTGGGTATTATCTATAAATGTTTATCGCTCAGTTATGAAGTCTTTATCACCTTGTGGAATTGTCCTGATTATCCATTTGGCGTAAGGGGCAAAATGGCTTGGGTCTAAAAAGACCAGGGTTGGGTCAGTTATATGCAAGTTACATTTAATCAAATGGTGGTCAGGCTGAGTGACCTCACTGATGTCATTGTACCCAAAATGCGTTGTTCACAATATCAATCACAGGATTGTCTGATCACTGTAACCCGTGAAGATCTGGGTGAGAATTGGCCTTCAGTAACCCATGCTTGTCTCCACCCGTGAAGGTCCGGGTTAGAATTGGCCTTCAGTAACCCAAGCTTGTCTCCACCCATGAAGATCTGGGTTAGAATTGGCCTTCAGTAACCCATGCTTGTCTCCACCCGTGAAGATCCAGGTTAGAATTGGCCTTCAGTAACCCATGCTTGTCTCCACCCGTGAAGATCTGGGTTAGAATTGGCCTTCAGTAACCCATGCTTGTCTCCACCCGTGAAGGTCCGGGTTAGAATTGGCCTTCAGTAACCCATGCTTGTCTCCACCCGTGAAGATCTGGGTTAGAATTGGCCTTCAGTAACCCATGCTTGTCTCTACCCGTGAAGATCCGGGTTAGAATTGGCCTTCAGTAACTCATGCTTATCTCTACCCGTGAAGATCCGGGTTAGAATTGGCCTTCAGTAACCCAAGCTTGTCTCCACCTGTGAAGATCCGGGTTAGAATTGGCCTTCAGTAACTCATGCTTGTCTCCACCCATGAAGGTCCAGGTTAGAATTGGCCTTCAGTAACCCAAGCTTGTCTCCACCTGTGAAGATCCGGGTTAGAATTGGCCTTCAGTAACCCATGCTTGTCTCCACCCGTGAAGGTCCAGGTTAGAATTGGCCTTCAGTAACCCATGCTTGTTTCTACCCGTGAAGGTCCGGGTTAGAATTGGCCTTCAGTAACCCATGCATGTCTCCACCCGTGAAGATCCAGGTTAGAATTGGCCTTCAGTAACCCATGCTTGTCTCCACCCGTGAAGATCCGGGTTAGAATTGACCTTCAGTAACCCATGCTTGTTGGAAGAAGCAACTCACGGCATCGGGTGGTCAGGCTCGCTGTCATCGGTTCGCAATTGCGTAGATGGATGCTCATGCTGTTGATCACTGGATTATCTGGTCCAGACTCGATTATGTACAGAACGCCGCAATTAAGCTGGAATATTGCTGAGTGCGGCGTTAAGCTAAAGTCACTCACTCACTCTGATCACTGTCATACAACAGGAATAATGATGTAGCATTAAACAATGAACAAACGACAATGACAAAAAGACTTGGACTCAAGACAGTAATTACAAGATCTAGATATGAACTTATGATGGCCATCACCGAGAACACTCCTCCATATCAAGAGTCAGAGTAAGAAACTGGGCCGCATTCCAAAATGTTTCAGTATACATTATTCTATTGCAAAGGTTGCAAACATTAAACTTGACCATTTCTATGTATATAAACAAAAAACAATATTTCCCAGTTATATTCAGTGTTATATAAAACAGTTATACTTTGTATATTGAAGAAGAAAGTTTTCTGAAGTACTGGTGTTTGACCTTGAATGACCTTCTGGAGTGTTTCCTCAAATTGAAGTAGGTCCTCTTGAAGACCAACGGTCGTACTTCATTTACTGGTCCACTTTTCCTCACACAATAAGCTCCTCGAACACTGATTGTTATCAACTAATTTGAACATTTTAGACATTCATCTGATATGTAGTGTTTAACCAAAATATTGTACATTCAGAGAGGTGGCAGTAAGAAAATTAGGCTGTCTGTGATGAGTATTTGCAGTGTATGGTCAGCTAGGATTGAAGACTGACATACTTGATAATTGCATCTCGCACATGAGACAGTCTAGGCTCCAGTGACACTAAGCAGTTGATGCAGACTAGTGTTAAGAGGTTTTTGATGACAAAACGAAATAAGAGGTAATTGAATTTCGGAGAGATTTGTACCGACTTTGTGACTAGGGTGGTTTTCGTTGTATAAGTGTGGGCAGTTGGATCCTGATAGTGTCAAATTTGAACTTATTGAGGCATCAGCTTTCTGTGTACTGAGACGTGACTTTGTCTTGAGATGTTGTTAACCCTTGTGCTGAGTGTGCAAGTGTCAGTCAGATTAGACTGGGCCAGGTTAACCGTTCTGAGACTTTAACACTCAACAATACCAAATGAAGTAGAACTCTTAGCATTTTAAGTTGGTTAAATATTGGTTTTATCAATAGATACGACACAGAGGCTTTATGTGTCTTGAGTAGCAACTAAGCCATTAAATATATTCATTGCTTTCCAAGAAAATATCCGTTGGAAAGAAGAAGAACATAATGTTGAGATTTTACTAGCGATTATTGACAAATTTACAAAGAAAATTTACAAGTATTTTACTTTGTTACTAAAGAAGAAATTTCAGATGCATGGATGTAAAGCGACATTCACTTTTTCAATTTTCTGCTATTTTTTTTTCAATCATTTTCAATCATCATTCAATCCTAGCCCTACAGTTCAGGTTCGAATGTTGCAAATGTGTCTGAATATCTGCCAGGTATTTGTTGTTAACCTGTAGGTATCGGATAAGATCTAGTTTATTTTCCACCAGGTGGTGAACTAGTTTCTTCTGCCCTGACCTCTAGGAGGCATTGCTATAACCTTCCTTCCACCATTGATCAGATTTGGTGCAATCAGGTCCATGCCATTAATTTGCTGCGGATCTAGACTAACAATTTTATATTCTGTGTTATATACAAACTTTATAATACATCTGTTTCATGAAAAGGTTATTTTTCTTTCTGGAATTGGCATTGGTTTCTGTATAATCATAGGATTTGAAGCAAAAGGATATTTGTGACATGCTGAGGTTATGATAATTCAAGTAGCTGAGTTTGGTGTGAAATCAACGTTTGTGCTTAATGTTGAAGAGCTCAAATCTATTTTCTAACAAACTATTATTACTTTTATGAAATCAAAAGATGGCTCCATATTTCACCACACACCATATGCAAGAAAAGAGCAAATATTTCTGTTCCTGCATTCCCAGCATTTTCAATGTCTTTTCGCTTAAACAGGGTTTTAACATTTTGTTTTGAAAAAATCCCTTCCCACAATCCTGATAATCACATGGTTACTTAAAGAAGCCTGAACAGCTCATGCATCTGTTTTAGGTTCCCAGAGTTACATGCTTAAATCTGCAAATGGTACTTGATAAGAGCAAATATTATTCAAGAGAGTTGTTTTCAATTGTGGTACTAACATATTGTTTCTTTTGTTTAGGACAAGCAAAACTTTTACATGATCGTACTATCATCTTCATTAGCATCGTCATTGCAACCTTGGTCTTCATTGCAATATGCATTGTGTCATACTTCATGGCCAGGTAAGTTACTTCCCTTTGTGAGAGTTATCTCCCTTTCTGATATATCTCTTCATTATAGTATCTAGGAATGTAGCAAAGAAGCTAATGGCTGTGTTTGGTCTGATCTGTGATACATCTATAATTTTTACTGATAAAACTGTTTCTGCAACAGTTACCTACCCTTATATATTAACACTTGCAAAATTGATATCAGATGAACTACACTGCTGGAAATTAGTATTCAGATAGTGTCAGCCATTCAGATACGATCTACAATAGATTACCAGTTTATCACATTTTCAGTTGTATACAACCATAATTTTAAAGTTTTAATGTTTCTGTTGATGACATATTCTCAGGCTCCGTTTCTCTCTCAGCTGTAAACGTTCGTGCGTTTATGTAAGTGTTTAAACTGTTTTTATCCACATTCATGACAATGTTAAATTTTCTTTTCAGACGGCAACGCAAAAAGTGGGAAAAAAGGAGGGATAAAAAAAATAAAAGAAACATTCCAGTAGAAACTCAATATCGTCCTCTCCTTGATGATGTAGATGCACCACACCCACCTGTAAATAGGGTAAAAGAGACTGTAAGTATTCAAGTCTATAGTATGTGGACTGTTGAAGAACCATATTCTGCATTGACATCAATTTTTGCATACATCATTGTACCTTAAGGGACTCTGTGTGTGTGTGTGATATGATAATGATGATAATTGTTATAGGGAGGAATGTACAATGTGAATGACCCTCCTAAATTGTATGTACAAACTGAGTTCTTCCTCCCCCCCTTGCATGTCATGTACAATATCAATGACAATCCCTCCCTCCCCCATCCCGTAATTTCTAAGCATGATGTTATGTACAAAATTGCTTATCTCTTTTCCCTCCCTCTCTTCTCTCCCCACCCCACCCCCACCCCCCCTCCCTCCCGTGCAGGTGTTTTGAAATAGCCTTGATCTTATGTTCAGGATATGTTACTATGTTACTTCATAGTTTTTAATTTTTAATGTCACATAGTTTTGTTATGCCATCAAAAATAAGATATCATTATCATTTGATAATTGTTCTTAAAAGTACTGTAATCTACGGTTATAATTAGCACAAAAGGGCCTTCTCCTTGATGGTGGGTAAGCTCATAGTTTTAGATCATTATGAACATAGTTATAGCCATATGCTTATGTTATCATTTCTACTGAAATATACATCAACTGACAGGGGTAAAAAATATGTTCTATCTATCAGTTTGTGAAAAAACATAATATACTGTATATCATTTTGAAGAGACTTTGCCTCATTTTCAGCATACACAGACAGATTACTACGTGAATAACGACAACTTGCCCCCGCACAATGACCCTAATATCTACCCTGTCATCAACCCCTATGGGGTACACAACAGACACGAGGACCCTCCAGTAGAGATGAGACGTCAGGCTCACCCCCTAGGAGCTGCACCCAACCCTGGTTCTAACCACGGTATTGAAGGACCAGACAGAAGGTCAAGGGCATCATCACGAGGGTCAAGGACACGGCTGAAGGCTGTATCTTTGGATGAAGGTCGTGATAATGAGGAAGACTTTGATCAACCTGGAATGAACGACCTGACTGCATCCAGATGCAAAAGATGCCCCGCAACTGTTATTCTGATGGTAACATTAAGGGTGGAACCAGGCCTACCAATAGACGACTGCCCATAACTATGCATGACATGGACATTCCTGAAGGAGAACTTGACAGTATAGAGCCCCTGAATGCTGAGGATCCTGTAGTGGTTGACTTAGAGTCTCCTGCACTTGAACCTTCCCCTGACAATGAGGATGGACACAGACCTATGGATGAACCTGATGATGTGGAAATGCCAGCAGATGATCAAAGCCATCCAAGACATTATATGTATCCCCCAAGTAAGTCTTTGGACTTTGAGTCAGATAGTGAAGAAGAACCAACAGAGGAAAGCCCACTGACACGATTATATATCAGCGAGGAGGAGGAAGAGCACACCATCTCGGGACAAGAGTTTTGACTCTCTGGACCTTGATAAATCAGATTCACAACCAACAGTGGAAAGTGTTGTGCTCGACAGTGGTCCTCAGGATTCTAGAACCAGTAATGAGCCATTGTACAAAGACAATCCTGACAGCTTAAGCAGCAGCGTCACCGGCAGTCCAGATACCCACCCCAGCTCCTCCATGGAAAACTTTGAGTTCCCTGTCCTCCCGAACGGGACAGAGACTGGAATGTCATGGGATGAACATGGTATGCCTGTGTCTCCTGGTCACTATGCATATTCTCCTCCTAACACAGACTCTCAGAACCTGGAGGACCAGTTCATTCATCCACACCCACCCAATGAGCTGCCTCTCAGCCCCACCAAGAACAGTACTGTGTATCAAAAGCTGCTGAAGGACATTCGAGAAGACCAGGATCCCATCCCTATATGAATGTCTTGTATCAACAGAATTCTCCTCCGTGTTTCCTGGACAGTTCCTGATATTCTTTCCGATATCTATGATGATGTGAACGGACCACAAAAGATGGATCTCAACATCAAACAACCACATCATCTGGATCGTCCATGAAGGATTGGCTACAGTATCATGTTCTGCAACATCCGCATCATCTGGATCTGTGATGATGTGGCTGGACCACGATGGGTGGATTCTTAGTAACAACACCCTGCCGTCTGGATCTATAATGACAGACGTGGACCACACACGATGGGCCATGATACCAGTGTCCACCTTCTTTAGGTCTACGATGATATTTATGAGCCATTGTAGATAGGTCCTCAATGTCCATTTCCTCAGCCACTGTGAAGAGTATCCTGCTCTTACATCCAAGGACCTAGGATCTTTCCTGATTTGATTCTCTCAATCCTCTGCATGTTTTGAGACAGTATATATGCTCATGCATCATGTAAGTTCAGTGTCAAACAAGTGTTCCCACCTCCCTTGATATGGTCTCCGAACTGTATGAATAACATGAGACTAAGAACAACTGCACCATTTTGTGTTCTAACAATGCAACAATGAATATGTGTGGCCCAAGTGTTGAATATCTCTCTGTGCATTATCTTGGCCCCAGTGCTTTGAGGACAGAAATAATGGCATTGAAAGATACTGTTCCATGGCAAACCCGAGGACCAAGATGAGTGACTAGGCAACTGCTTTTATGTATATTCTGTGAGCATCTTCTAGAAAGACCTTACATGGTGCCCTGTACTTAAGCATTTAATGACATCACCACTGCCATCCACTATAAGAGTTGAACAAATTGACATAAAGCACCATTTTATTTGAAGGCTATCTGTTATTGGAGGCATCTGTAGAATCAGTGAAAACAGACATTTACACTGAAGTGTAATGTTTTGTAAATTGCAGGTTATATATAAATAAATATTTAATTCTGCTTCTGAATAAATTACATAAGTAAAAATTACATAAGCCATTTACAGTTCATGATTCAAAGATTAATTTGGTATTATTTATTTATTTTTTTAGTTAGATGTCATTGAAATTCATGTTAATTAATTCTTTGTTTTGTATTGTTCACATTTTGACAAAACTGTATCGTCTTATTTATATTCATTTGTGATTTGTGATTAACCTTACTGATGCAAAATTTAGTCAAATTCTTCAAGGAATTATACGCATTGCACATCTGTAGAACGTTGTATGTATATTGAACAAAACAAGTTAGGGAACATGAATATTTTCAGGTGTATTTTTATTAAATTGTGTACTTAGCCTTCACTTAAAAAATTCCCAAAATATATTCATGATCTGTTTCTTTGTTTGTTGAGTATATGAATATCTTGATGAAGCTGCAGGAAACAGTTTGTATCAACTATGCCTTAGTGAACAGTATCTTGTTGTGATCCATTTTTTAATGACAAGGGTAATAATGTCAGTGGTATTGACCAATGAGAAGACTGAACAATGATTTGTTGTCATTGTTGTTGAAGCACCCATGCTATAGCAGTCATCGTTGATACATCGTAGTAACGTATTTCCAGTTTCATCTCTGTGTATATAATGTTCATGCTGTGTTATTTAATTTCTTGTGTTGTGTGAAATCAATTTAAATTAAATCCTTTTATAGACATGTGTTGTATAAAGTTATGCCATATAATGTTATGATTCTCAACTGTGATTCATTCAACATACTTGAATGCACCTATATGTTTATTTTTTTGCCATTGTAAATTATCATTTGAATTGATGACATCATTTTGTTGTATATTTCATCTTATGTTCTGTAAACAGTTTAAATTGTTCTTTATATGTACAAGTGTGTATATACTGAAATAGGACTGTTGCAAGTTCACAAAGTTAAACTATGATACATATTAACACAATGAGAGTTAACACAATATTGGAGTTGGTTGTTATGCTTCAGCAAAACGTGTGTACAAATACCAACAAATGCATCCTAACAATATAAGATAATTCGTAGGTAGAAATACTTTTAAGTAATCATTACTTAAAAATTAGAACTTAACTGAGTCCTAAATAATATTTAATGCATGCATAAACTGCCAACATGATCGAATAATCATAATTATATTGATTATATGTCGAAACACTCTGATAAAAGGGCAAAATAGTAGCAGTAAAAGTTGTAGGAGTGAGTGAGTATGGTTTTATGTCGCTTGTAGCAATATTCTAGCAATATCGCGGCAGGGGACACCAGAAATGGGCTTCACACATTGTACCCACGTGGGGAATCGAACCCGGGTCTTCAGCGTGATGAGCGGGCGCCTTAACCACTGGGCTACCCCACCACCCCAAAAAAGTTGTGGATAAAGGTCACCAAAAATCAATAACGATATCTATATGCATGTCAGATTAGAAATATGTAAAATGTAGCACCTTGTTTATGCATTACAGGTATTCACAGCTGCTCACATTGCATCATGCTAGCATTCAATCAGTATATAAAGATCTGTAGAGAAACATTGATAGACGGGGATACACATTATGTAGTTGCACAGCATGCACCTTTATACACAAGCAACTCAAAACTGACTGGGTAATGGTGAGTTTTGTGTATTTATTTATCTGGAGTTCTGACTGAAAGATGTTTCTTCAAAGAAAAAGTTCATTTGACAAAATTGTGAAACTACTAACTCTTATTCTATTGGTTGGGACAATGCTAACTCAAATTTAATTTAGTTTAAAAAGGAGATTTTCTTATGAGTCTGTTTTCAAGGACATGGCAGGGGATGACGTTGGGATAGCCTTGTAGATTAGTGTTCACTTGTCATGCCACTGACCCAGGTTCGATTCCCCATATGGGTACAATGTGTGAAGCCCATTTCTTGTCTCCTCTTCCGTGATTTTGCTGAATTATTGCTAAAAGCTGTGTAAAATCCAACTCACTTCATTGAGTTGGGACTGCTTGCATTGGACAAGAACAGAAGGTAATCGGTGAGACTCAGATTGCTTGACTTAAAGAACATAAAACATATCTGATTGAATGCTGCATGTATTCACTAACAATGAAATAGCAAATAGATTGCCCGTGAAAATATGAGAATGAAACATATTATGTACATTTCAGTTCAAGAACATCAGTACCAATATTTAGTTTCAATTATCTGTTGAAACATATTTCATGGGGCATGAAAGGTAGAATGGTGATGGACATAATATGAATGGATAACTGTCATCAGCGATGACACATGTGTCAAAGAAATGCACTGATGAAGAAAGCTGGAAGTTTTTGTTGTTAGGAGAACAAAATATGTTAACCTATTATTTATAAAAGTGTATATTTTTGTCTCTTTGTTGTATTTGTGCTAGTTGTCAGTGTTCAAAAGGTTGATTGATGGTGGCATGAATGGACGGATGTCTTGGTTAACACTGTAAGTATTTTTCATGACAAATCTACTCCCAGGAAGCAACAATGGTCTTACAGCATTTTACAGTGATTATGTAAATTTATGCAAGCACTGATGTGTCAATCTCCTATTGATGGAAGTAGTGTAGATTTTTAAAGTTCAATTCACATTTTTATTGGAGTGAGTTTTTGTCTAATCATCAAAACTTTATGTTAATGTTACCGTGGTGATGCTGTGCAAAGATTCCAAAGACATTTTTATTTATATTCACATCTTCACGCTGAATTTTACAATTTAACCATTACAGTAAAACATTTATTGGGGTATTTAGAAGTTTATGCTTTGAGTAAAATGCTATGGCTTTGCTTTTTAGAAGCACACCAATTATTTTTTAGAATATGTGATTGACATTTATGATGAATCTCCCTTTGGAGTCTGATTAGGGTATTCTGCATATTTTAAATCTCATCAATATATTTTATGTTTGAATTTTAGAAAACAAGGTAGGAGAGCAGCATGGTTATTTTGAGATGAACATGCACACCAGTTACCTTTAACTATCAAAGAAAACCTTTTATATTTGTGAATATTAATTGTCAAAGAAAAATACTAGGAATTAAAAAAAACAGTAGTAGTGATTGTAGACCGCTTTGAAAAATAAGGACTTAATAGTTGTTTTTGATTAATGATGAAAATGTCATGAAAAGTCACATATTTCAGTAGCCAGCACTTAAAGAAACTGAAGCTTGGTGGAACTATGATATGTTACGCATATGTTTAGATAACAGCAATGAAAGATTCAAAGTCTTTAGAAGAGTTTATGACCTGGAATCTATTTTAATGATATTGTATACATTATTTCAGTTGTAGGGCTGATGTAGGTGTAGTTTGTTGGACTTGTTAAATGATGTTTGGTTACTGTTATCTGTAGTGACCTCTGAACTATTGTACATAGAATGATAGTCAGATATTATTTAAAGCTGGTACTGCAAGAATATTCCAGCCTGTTTACATCAGATAACATCATGTTGAAATGCATTAACACTGCCCTTAAGGTAAAGAAATAATTGGATATTTGTTGAACAGATTCAGATGTGATTTCTTGATCACTTTCAGATGAGGTAAAAATGGTTCTATTTGAAATTATACGACTTGGATAACCAATACAGAAGTATGGAACAGTATACAAGGAAGTTAGTTCATTTCATTTGGGCTGTGGACATATTCCTCGCAAGTCAGATTTGAAGTGCCATATGATCTTTAAATTATAAGATAATATTCTTCATCAAATGATATTGATATGGAAATGTTGTATTGGTTTGAATCTCTGTCATAGAATTGTACAGACATCATGTTAAAATAGACATAATATCAAAGCATACTTCTGATCCAGCATAATATTTCATCGGGGCATTTATCTTGAAGTGAGCTAAATGCAATTGTTTGAAATTCTTAACAATATTAGAGTCGTGCAGAACTCATATTGCTAATTTTACAGGATTTGATTGTAAAGTTTCAATTGTACTTCTCTGCACTGAAATTGTTTTCCTGAACAAACGTTTGTGGCCGATTCATGGAATGCTTGCTTTGCTCTGTGGTATTTGAAGTCTTTTCTTGAAGTCTTTTTATGCTTGTTATTAATGCATACCAGTTTTTATCATGTATGTTGACTATTCCGAACAAATCCTTTTCACCTTAAACATCATTCATTATCTACGAGTGTTGCCTAAATTAGAATAAAAACCAAAAAGTGATATTTCATATCCAGACAAATATCAAGTTGTCTCGACATTATCCAGACAAATATCAAGTTGTCTCGACATTTTCTCATCTTGGATTAAAAAAATTTCAATCATCTTCATACTTTGTGTGATTTTATCCAGAAAATGAAAAGTTATAACTGTGGTAACATCACATTTTTAAAATTTAAAATTCCATGCATTCCCATAGGAAAAATAACATTAACCGTTTCATAGTGTCTATAAAGTGCTTTGAAAACCTGATAAGAGAAACATATTGGCTAAAATAGATTTGTGATATGTCAGTTTTTCTAACATTTGGCATTTCTGCCAAATGATTGAGCATTTCTTGCATACTGGCACAGCAAGCTACAGCAGCAGTAAATTAATGTGCAGACATTAGGTTTATGTATTTTAATGTTGTACTCTGAAAAGGTAGAATCTTTGGCGAGTTACCTTCCCTGATGCACTTAAGAGGGCAGTGCCTTTGTTTGAAAAGTGCCTCAGTCCATATAGTTTATCTGTTAAGTTTTAAAGCATAGTGTTTTATTAGAAAGCCATTGTTCTGATGCACTGTTTAAGAGATATATTGACCCAAATGATATATGTTCTTTTATATTAGGTGTTAGTTGACTATGTCAAAATGCATTTAGTACCAGCTTAAAAATTACATGTTGTTGTTGCATATGAATTTTATATGATAGATTAATGTTTGTTAATTAGTATTAATGCTAGATGATATATAATTGTTAAAAGTGCTTGCTTTCTTTCATTAAATCAATTTCTTGTAACTTTATCTCAATTTGCCTAAATAGTCCTTGAGAAGTGTCTTTTAAGCGTACTTCATTCTGTCTGTTTTGAGCTTTTGATTATCACAGAAAATATTGAAAGCTTGTCTTTTGACTGTTTTATGAAGTGTAATATCTCACTTAGCAGATACTATCTTGACTACAACTTATTACATGACAGATGATGTTGGCGGTTTGACAACTTGTTCAGGTGCAGCAGAAGCAAGAGTGTGTTCAGATGAATTCACCTGAAGTGAAATCATGTTTGTTATGTCTACAAAATAGATTTTCATTTTAATATTTAAGAGATTTTAAGACGATTAGAATTTGATGTTATTTTTGTAAATCTTAGATGATGTTTATTTCATTTATAAAACATGACCTTAGTTCCTTCTGATCTTGATTCTATGCACAGTAAATTGTTGGATCTTATGAATGAATAAATAAGTTGATAGTATCTTGACTTGAAGGAAAACTGTTTATAGATAAATTATTTCTTGCTGGTTTGCCCTGTGTAAAACAGACTTTTTGTTGAGTTTGACTGTCAGTATGATTCATGCCTGGTTCAAGGATTCCCTGGTTCAAGGATTCCCTGTCGATGAGTGAAAGTTTTATGTCTGGCATCAACAAGGAACCCGTATTGTCATGTTAGTGTATTTTTGTAAATTATTAAAAATTTAAAACATTTGTTTGTATGTTTTCTTTATCTATTTTATCATAATTATTATATATAAGCATGCATACTACTCTAGTTTGTATAGTGTGTATTGTTTTACGCCGCTTTTAGCAATATTCCAGTAATATCACAGTAATCGGACTCACACATTGTGCCCATGTGGGCAATCGAACCCATGCCTACAGGGGCGGTGGGGTAGCCTAGTGGTTACAGTGTTTGTTTGTCATGCTGAAGACTCGGGTTCGAGTTCCCACATGGGTACTGTGTGTGAAGCCTATTTCTGGTGTTTTCCTGCCATGATATTGCTGGAATTTTGCTAAAAGCAGTTGAAAAGCCATACTCACTCACTCACTCACCCATGCCTACAATATTACAAGCAAACACTTTAATGACTAGACTATACCCAATGCCCACCACAGAGAAAATCATAAGGTTCATATATGAGAATCATTGTTTATCATGGAGACTGATGTCCCTAACACAACTGGAGTAATATATCTGATCAAGGATTACATTTATGAATGGTATGGTATCTCACTGGGACAGCATGATATAGCAGTCATTATAGTCCATTTGGCTCAAACTCCGACCGACTACAAAATATATAATACTGGATGAAACACTGATCATGATCAAAACATCAGCTCTGTGATTTTATCGCAGAATTTATGTCCCACAAATAAAAAAAGTTGTTTAACAAACTATCATTAACATTTTGACAAAATTCACTATTTGTTATGAGGGAGGACTGCAAAGAGAGGAACAGCCAGGTGTACGCGGAGAACGTGCACAAGTGCCGACACAGTTATTGAACCTGTGCTGTGTTGTCACCATCCTTTCTCGCACTGTGCACAACAAATCGCAGCACTTTCACACACACACACACACACACACCTATGGGTGTAAGTACCGTAAGTATGTATTAAGATATTCCCCTTGCTAAAGCGTGAACTCGGAATATATACACCTGGAACTTAATTAAGCACCCCCTGATATATTTCATGATAGTAGAGCAACTGTTAACCATCGTTAAACATGAATGATATCTCTGTATTACAACACATCTCTAGTAGTCTAAAAAAGGTGTTTCAGTTCCTTTGCACTCGTCACAACGCATCCCTTGTGCACGTGAAGCATACAACCCACACTTTTCCCAAAATTCAGTTTCTCTGATATGCAATTTATGGGTATAAAAGCAGACAAATTTGTAACTCTCTCCATAAATAAATACTGAAATGGCGAGGAGATGACTTTCTGAAGCACTCAGGTGGCAAATTGTAGGCATACATGCAACAAGCATGTCCTTCAAAGCTATTGGACGACAACTGGGCTTCAGTCACTCGGTCATCAGCCGACTTGTCCGAAACATCAGATGACAGGAGATGTGAGAGATCGTTCAAGGCCTGGACAACCCAGGAAGACAACGGCCCGTGATGATCGCAGCCTGGCACGTCTGGTAAGGCGAGAACCCTTTGCCACAAGTTCGGGTTTGAAGCGCCTGTGGTTACCCTACAGACAATTATTCACCAGAACCGTCAGAAATCGCCTTAGGGCACTTGGTATGAGGTTCAGAACAGTCATCAAACGTCCTGCTCTGTCTGATCTTAAGAGACGACGTCTGGAGTGGTGTATGGCCCGTCGGCAGTGGAACCTGAGGACATGGAGGAGGGTCCACTGGTCAGATGAGAGCAGGTTCCTTCTCCATGTTACAGATGGTCGAATGGGAGTGTGGGGCATAAAACACTGCTTACGTGCCCAGGAATATCCACCCTACTGTTCCTCATGGTGGAGGATCGGTTATGATCTGGGTTTGTCTTTCACACTACTGTAAACTTCAAATGGTGACTGTCCGAGGACATCTTAATGGTCAGCAGTACATCCGGGATATTCTCCATCCAGTTGTCGTGCCTCACTTTGACAACCATCCGTTGGCTACTCACCCGATATTCATGGACGACAACGCCAGGCCGAATCGTTCACGTGCTGTGACCGCACATCTCCAGAATGAGGCTATCATGGCATTACCTTGGCCAGCAATGAGCCTCGATTTGAATCCTTTGGAGCACATCTGGGACTTTCTTGGACGCCGTGTGAGGTTGAGAGAACCCCCTCTCCAGAATCTTGCACAGCTGGAAGTTGCTTTGCATGAAGAATGGCGGCAATTGCCACTTGATCGTATCAGAAGGTTTACCAGTAGCATGAGGAGAAGGATTCAAGCTGTCATCCAAGCACGTGGGAGACACACCTGCTATTGATGCCAGACCCATCAGATGTTAACATGTGACATTCCTTGTGCATCATTTCTTGTAATAGTCAGCCATTGACAATGCTACGGCCATACTTGTTCAGTGACTATTTTCATCAAAAATCAATAGTGACCAAATCACATTGGTTACGCTATTAAAACAACACGAATTGGAATCATTGTCTTGTTTTTCATTTGCCAATAGATCGTATGTTTCACAATAGCTAAGGTTCCACTATCTTTGCAATAGTGAGAAAGTTACAGCAAGTTTTGTTTCTCATCATCCAGAAAATAGGGGGGGGGTGCTTAATTAAGTTCCAGGTGTATATATATTTCAATGAGACTATTTTGAAGTACAGGGCTGAGGTTAATGCCAAGGTCAGGAAGCCCTGATACTGGGTGTAACTCCCACCTACCTTGCCACAATCTTGGTTAGCGTCACGTAAGTGTGAGAATAACATCTAATCACTGAAATGAGCATATTTTACAGAGAAACAGTTCTTAAATATAGTTGATAAGATAAATCTAGACTTGGCACATATTATTGACGTGCACGAGCTTTCTTGGATATATTTGTTGCAGGGTCTGTATGGCAGACGTCACGATGTAAGTGCAGACTCCTACTTTAAGCCAGCATCCCGTGAAGCCTTTTTTATGGTGTTTCTAGTATTTGTGGCCAGGAGTTTTAAGACTGATTACAGATGTTCTATGTGGACATAGTGGGAGAGGATACGTGTACCGCTTAAAACACCCGGTGTCCTCACTAAATGGTAGGGATTCATAAACACATGTTCAGGATATAATCAGAATCGGACTATCGACTCTGTTTTCAGCAGTTAGTTCTTGTACATTTTTTAAAACTTCTTGTTGCAGCGGCAATAACGCCGATGATTGGTTGGATGATTGAGTTTAGATTTACACGGCTTTTAGCAAAGTTCCAGCAATATCACAGCGAGGGACGCAAGAAATGGACTTCACACATTTGTCGGGAATAGAACCCGGGTCTTCGGCGTGACGAGCGGACGCTTTAACCACTGGACTACCCCATCGCCTGGATGTGATGAGAACGCAGGTGTATTGCGTTGTACATGGTATATATCTCACTATACGGGGAGTCTGCTTGGGCAGGACAATCGGGGAATGCGTTTGGATGTTTTAGCGTTGAAAAAAAACACTAGTCGCGATCGGTGATGATCGATGTAGGAGTGTAAAAACAACATGTCTGTATCGAACTAAGCTATTCAAAATGAAACTTGGCTCTTTGTCTTTGGGGTTTACTTTTAAAGGGCAAACTAGCACAACACACTGGTAATGCTTCACGAAAGGCAGTCAATCCCAGAGCGTAGGTACATGTATATCCAGAGTTAGTTTCGACATTCTCTGTGTTACATTTTCGTGGATTATAATCACATTGAAGTTACAAAACAGTGGCGAATGACGCCCATCTTGTGAAACAAGTTTTCAGACAATCGTTTTTGAAATCCCGATTTTTCTTATTCGAATGTCTTCTTCTTTTTTTTTTTTTTGAATATCAGGACGGTTCCATCAGAAAAATCACGTGATGGGAACCATTGCCACATGGCGAGTGTGGTTAATTGTGTTTACAGCTATGCAGAAAAGAATATGAACCTCAATACACTCAAGAACGAGCGAGCGAAAAAACAACGAATGAAGAGACGGACGGACGAACGAAAGAGTCCTGGGCCAAGTTTTCGAAGCTCTCTTAGCGCTAACATAGTCGTAAGTTAATGCTAAGGTATGGCACTTACGACTATCTTAGCGCTAAGAGAGCTTCGAAAATGTAGGTCCACGGTGCTGTTGCACAGAATGATCTTAGCGCTAAGGTAATCGTTACTCCCATACCTAACAAAGACTTATAATTACTACAGTCTTAGCGCTAAGGTAATCGTTACTCCCATACCTAACAAAGACTTATAATTACTACAGTCTTAGCGCTAAGGTAATCGTTAGTCCCACACCTAACAAAGACTTACGACAGTATTAGCGCTAAGGTTGTTTTGCACAACCGCCCCCTCTATGCAGTGAAAACTAAACACCACCAACCTTGAATGTGTTTATTAAGTAATAACGAGGTGTGTGTTTACCAACAGAGGCTCTAAACAATATAGAAACAACAGGCAGAGCTCATACCTGAATATATCATTTCCCTTTTAGCTTTGGCAGTTGTAATATACAATTAGAAATTAGATAAGCTCATCAAAAATCCGATTACAAGTATTTCTTCGTTTGGGCCAACTAGCTGTTATCTTAGATATTTTATCAGCTTGCTTATATTGTATCATGTGTATGAATCTATAAGTTAATTACTGTCCTACAATGTAACACATGACAATGTATCACCGTCTAGATCCACACAGACTATGGGAAGATGCGTAGTCAAAATTATCTCGTATGAAAACGATTTATATAGGGTGTTCCTAACATCGTATCCACGCAATAGCTCAAGCTAGTCAAAGTGACGAGAAGATTAGAATATTTACATGATCATATCAAGTATATACAAGGGGTTACACACATGAACATAAACTGTACAATGAATGGGAATGCATGCTACATTCTGGTTGGTTGAAAAACATCGTTGAATGGATCGTTCAGACTTTTTACTGTAATTGAATTCTTTTCTTTACAAACTGACCAAAACTTTCAAAACCAAACACTTTTTGTAATATATATATAGTAATATATATATACATACATCAATTTTTCTGTCATGAAATAGTTAATTGTAAAAGCACAAAATAATTACATGTACTTCCCATATGTAACACATGTGTGAGAATGGATCAGTACTCAAGCTCTCTATTTAGGTAACGTCATTTCCAGCTATTGCGACGGAATAAGGTCCGCTGCGCATGATGAATTTCAGAACAGTTTATGATTGGCTGGCAGTCACCGTGTGTTTCCAGCTGATCAGTTAGCTGCTAGGCAACAACACAGAACCGTCCAACAGCAGGCCAAGAGGCAACAATCGGCAGCAACCTCTTCCTCATGACGATGGTGATCGTGGTGGTCGTGGTGATGATGGTGGTGGTCGTCGCGCACAACGTACCTAAAATACAATCAATAAGATCTACTTTAAACGTAGTTTGAGGTATATCTATGATCTTTCGTAATGTTCGGAGCTGTATCTACATGTATTTTATGACACCTCGTTATGTTACTATTCTTGCAACATCGAACCAACGTTAATGGGGTCACCAGGATTCAGACCAAACAATGGTCTCAGACAGACAGACAGACAGACAGGGACAGACAGGGAAGACAGACAGGCGGAGCCAGACAAAGGCGGATAAAGAAAGAAAGAGCGACAGAGACAGACAGGTAGACAGAGATGGGAAGAGAAAGACAGACAGACCGACAGAGACAGTCAGACAGAAAAGATAAAAATAGACATACAGACAGACAAAGACAGGGCACAGAAAGACAGACTGACAGAGACAGAGAAAAAGTGAGTGAGTGAGTATGGTTTTACGCCGCTTTTAGCACTATTCCAACAATATCACGGCGGGGAACACCAGAAATGGGCTCCACACATTGTACCAATGTGGAGAATGAAACCGGGTCTTCGGCGTGACGAGGGAACGCTTTACCACTAGGCTAACCCACCACACCCCAGATAAAAAGAGACAGACAGACAGAGACAGACAGGTAGGGGAACAGAAAGACCGACCGACAGAGACACACAGACAGACAGGGGAAGAGAAAGACAGGGATAAAGAATGACAAACAGACAGGGGCAAAGAGACAGACAGAAAGGCAGACAAACAGGGACAACGAAAGACAGACACGCCGGAGCAGAGAAAGACAGACAGGGGCAGAGAAAGACAGACAGGGGAAGAGAAAGACAGGCAGGGGAAGAGAAAGACAGACAGGGGCAAAGATAGACAGACAGGGGCAAAGATAGACAGACAGGGGCAAAGATAGACAGACAGGGGAAGAGAAAGACAGACAGACAGGGACAACGAAAGACAGAAAGACAGGGCCAGAGAAAGAGAGTTGCTTGAATTGATATATGCAATGTGTGATGTACTCTCGTCATTGACTACACTCTCTGATACTGCTGTGTGCTACTGTCCACAACTACTGTCAATTGCGACACGGTCTCAGTTAGACTAACAACTACCCTCTGAAATGAACATATTTTGCAGAAAAACAGTTCATAATTTAAAAAAAAAATTATAACGAAAAGGAGCCCAGATGCCTTCTCCATTTTCAGAAACTGACCAACTTGCATGGGCTTTCTTGGATATATTTGTTTCAGGGTCTGTATGACAGACTAGGTATCAGTCTTCATAGGTTCATAGGTCCCTGTATCACGGCACCAACAAAAGAGGCTGACTTCTAGAGATGTACTTACACAGTGTTAGTTTGAGGCTGGGGTTGTTGGTAGTAGACCCCAGGGGGAGGTGCTCCTCCGGAGCCGTAGTTGTTGGGGAGGTTCTGGTAGCTCATGCTGAAAAAAAATCATATCTCTAATCTCTGAGGGTATATTTAGGAATGAGTGAGTGAGTATTGATTTACAGCGCTTTTAGCACTATTGCAATAACATCACGGCGCGTGTGCGTGCGAGTGTCTGTGCGTTCGCGCGCGTGTTTTGTGTGCGTGTGCGCGTGTGTGATTCGAAATCATGTCTTCAGTATGTCCAGCGAACGTTTTAACCACTGGGGTACCACAGCGCCCCGAAACCTATTGGACTCAAGAGTTATGTTTTTTTCCTGATTTCTTTTGGGTATGTTTTCAATATACTACTTTGAAAATGTAATATACATGTCTCTGACACCATGCTGAATGTGTTTAGAAACGGCTGGCTACATGCAAGTAACAGTGTAAGGGAAGTAACTCTATTTGTATAGTGACATTTAAGCCCGTAAGAGTTATGCACCCAGGTAACGCCCCCAATCGAGGAAATAGATAGTTGGGTAGAGCGGTAGAAAATTACAATATTTACTTTATCAATAATATAATTTGTCGACACAATGAACAAGGATATAAGTTAATGTCACCAGAAAAGATGTCAAACTTGAATCATATATACAGCAGGGTTACATCGGATTAATATAATCAATAATCAATATTTTGCATTTCTTTTCAAAATCAAAACACAACTACGCTTCGTGTGGTTAATAAAAACATCGATATATGGAATCCTTTCTCTTAGGCCTTACCTTTGATTAATGGAACCGTTAAAAGTTACCAATCACCGTGTCTCTTTCTTGTCGGCTTTTGTACCTCGCTCAGTTGTGACGGTGTCTCCTTGTCACGTGGTCACAGTCATGGGACCGATGTATCAGGTTATCGTCATGTGATAAAGAAGTCCCATCTACTTTCGGTTTATCAGATTAGATAGTATTGTGAAATACTCAACTGTACACTGCTCGTGGTGCAATGGTAGTTGACATTTCAGATGGAGTGCGTATGTTCTCTCTGTCTGTTATTCTCGCTTCTCTCTCTGTGTGTCTCTGTCTCTCTCACTCACACACACACATACACACTCACTCACATACACTCGCACACACAAGCTCATACCTAGACACACACTCGCACACTATAACACACTCACTCACTCACACACTCGCTCACACTCACTCACTCACACTCACTCACACTCACTCACTCACTCACTTACTCACACAGGCACACTCTCAGACAGACATCAATATATGTCATATCATCGATTTTCCGCCGTATATCAATATATGTCATACGCCTCCACTATCGATTTTCCGCCGTATATTATGTCAGTCATGTAACGATAAATGACCTGGACAAAAAATCATATTGTTGTGTTGTGTGGCGTGTTTATCACTGAAATGACTCGGCATGTACAAGTAGTGTTGTGTTGTGTGGCGTGTTTATCACTGAAATGACTCGGCATGTACAAGTATTGTGTTGTGTGGCGTGTTTATCACTGAAATGACTCGGCATGTACAAGTATTGTTGTGTTGTGTGGCGTGTTTATCACTGAAATGACTCGGCATGTACAAGTATTGTTGTGTTGTGTGGCGTGTTTATCACTGAAATGACTCGGCATGTACAAGTATTGTTGTGTTGTGTGGCGTGTTTATCACTGAAATGACTCGGCATGTACAAGTATTGTTGTGTTGTGTGGCGTGTTTATCACTGAAATGACTCGGCATGTACAAGTATTGTTGTGTTGTGTGGCGTGTTTATCACTGAAATGACTCGGCATGTACAAGTATTGTTGTGTGTGTGGCGTGTTTATCACTGAAATGACTCGGCATGTACAAGTATTGTTGTGTTGTGTGGCGTGTTTATCACTGAAATGACTCATGTACAAGCATTGTACATCAGAAATGATTGTTGTGTGTGTGTGGCGTGTTTATCACTGAAATGACTCGGCATGTACAAGTATTGTTGTGTTGTGTGGCGTGTTTATCACTGAAATGACTCCGGCATGTATTGTTGTGTTGTGTGGCGTGTTTATCACTGAAATGACTCGGCATGTACAAGTATTGTTGTGTTGTGTGGCGTGTTTATCACTCTCGGCATGTACAAGTATTGTTGTGTTGTGTGTCGGTTTATCACCGGAAATGATGCATGTACAAGGCATGTACAAGTATTGTTGTGTTGTGTGGCGTGTTTTACGTCTCTGAAATGATGTACACTCGAACTGAAATGACTCGGCATGTACAAGTATTGTTGTGTTGTGTGGCGTGTTTATCACTGAAATGACTCGGCATGTACAAGTATTGTTGTGTTGTGTGGAAACCGGTTTTGGTTTGAAACCATAAAAATAATCAAAAATACGCCATTTGTCAATTTAATGCATGTAAGACGTGGGTAATAAATAAATACTGACACTCGGTCTTCATTACATACGAATTATACGAAACTCGTGACTTTCCTATGGTATCTGACCTCGCGGGTCAGATACCATAGGAAGGTCACGAGTTTCGTATAATTCGTATGTAATGAGACCGAGTGTAGTATTCTCTATGAAATGACTCGGCATGTACAAGTATTGTTCCGTCCAGACCTGCGGGGCCAGGAAGGTCAAGCCATCTTATTTCGCGGTCATTTTCACTTTTCATTTCCTGCACGGATGTTCTCATTCTATCTGTCCTCGCCATAGTGTCCCTCCAAACTAACCTAGATATTATTTCCGACCCACTCGAGGTTTACAGTCAGCTGGATCAAATTTCACTGTATATGTGATTCAATGTGTCATTAGGATACTGCCGTATTTGTACTCCGATACATACATTAATCATTAGAAATTCTCTGGGCTAGTACAAGCAGCCGCACAAACACATACACACGCATGCACGTCGTCATATGAGCGAAATATTCTCAAGCACGACGTTAAACCCAAATTCACCTCACCTCATTAGAAATTCAATATTTTAAAAATTATTATAATAAACCTGTTATGGCAGGTTGGTTTCCAGCTTGCCCATTGCGGATGTACTTTAACTTATTTTGAGTAATTTTCTATAAACCTGAACAAGTTAAGCACCATTCCTTCCCTATTTGCATACATTGCGAACTATATAGCGTCTTTTTGTTAAATGGCAAACACGCCACCAGTACCTGATGAAAACTGAACATGAGAGCTGTTAGGCTGGAATACTGACAAGTGATGTCGCAACGAGGTCTCCAGTCGATGTTGGTTGTTTGGGTATGTTCGGACAGACGTGCACGTGCTTGTAGGATATATATCGCCCGTTAAGATCCGGGTTAGAATTGGTCTCCACCAACCAATGCTTGTCGCAAGAGGCGACTAACGGGATCGGGTGGTCAGGCTCGCTGACTTGGTTGATACATGTCATTGTATACCAACTGTGTGATTGCCAATCACTGGATTGTCTGGTCCAGTCTCGATTATTTACAGTTCGCCGCCATATAGCTGGAATATTGCTGAGTCAGGCGTTAAACAAACAAACAAACAAACAGAAACAACAAAAACAAAAACACCCTACCAACTTAAACATTTGGTTAGTTTCTTGCACTATTTCATTACCCGTTACCCGTCTGTAACACAAAATTCCATCCTCCATTTAAATTTGACCCAACTCCACCCATCCCACCACTGCTTTCATCTGTATTAGGAACATCTTACCTTATCAAATTCGGTATATGATATGGTGGGAGCTTCAGTGAGTGACTGTTTTAATCTTGAGAAAACTTCTCTCACCCTGCAGTCAATTCAAACTTCCTTTTTGAAAGGTTATATAAGGGTGCCACAGTGGAAGCGAAATTCTTCACCAGTCGAGAAGGAGCACATCCCAGAAATAATCTCAGCTCAGTTATATTTGGAGCTTGCCCTCCGAACACCTTCCGTCTTTGCAGTGTCTGTTCAAACACCTTGAGGAAAACCCAAGGTGTAAGGCAATTCACTTCCCTTGATATTTCCTTGGTTTAAACGTCCGCTCTGCCTTTGTCAGAGGACTGGGTTATTGTGAGAGAGTATCAAGGTGATTACTGAAATCTTTGTTCTGAACAGTCAGATCGCTTACAATATTCAAACAAGAGTCACAAAGTCCAGGTGTTATTGTCGTATCAAGCCAAGAGAAATGTGTAAGGACAATTCGTGCCCGCAAATGACATACAATTGGTGTAAACTAAATGGTGTAAAATATATCTGTTTTTCCTTATCTTCAAACTGACCTTAATCTGCCAATTGCCGGAAGCACAATCAAGGCAACTTAACAGGTTAGAGCTGTTCTCTCAGTCGCAAAACTAATCCGAGGTATCGGCATGCTGTAAAGTGAAACTTTCAACAGCGAAGGGAGATGGGATAGCCTAGTGGTTAAAGCATTCGCTCGTCACACAGAAGACACGGGTTCGAGGTTCCCACGCTGGTACAATGTGTGAATCCCATTTCCGGTGTCCTCTGTCGTGATATTGCTGGAATATTGCTAAAAGCGGCGTAAAACCACACTCACTCACTCAAACAGCGACAAATATTCAAAGTCTTGTTTCTCCATTTTTCTTGGGTACCAACACAATTGCTGGTGACCAATGGTGGTAGATGTTTCAGTAATCCCAGGAGCTTGCATTTCGTAAACCACTTTCAAACGTTCTTTCGTTCCAGGATGCTGAAAAGACTTCCCAGAACCGATCTACAAATATGACCAAGTACACCTTAGATTGTGAAAAAACCACAGAATATTTCAGAAGACATCCTCCAGATGGATCCAACGACCGGGTCATATTTCCTGTTGCGAAAAGGCAGAGCAAGAAAGCGAACCTCAAACAATAATACAGGAAAGGCCACTGAGTGTGTCATTACTTAAACGCTTATGGTTTCATTCTTTCAAATTTCGTAAACAAAGACAAATATTTCGTCAGGCAACAAATCCAGGATAAGAATATTTAAATGGAAATAAATAGTTATGACGTATTTAATATTTGCGATAAAGAGGTGAGGTGAACTAACGTCGTGCTTGAGAATATTTCGCTCATATGACGACGTGCTTATGTGCGGCTGCTTGTACTAGCCCAGACTGAAGCTGGTTTTATAGTGCTAGCCCACTGAGAGATACCATGCCGCAGTGAAGCATGAATACCCCACTAGACACATTATACTGACTCCAAGCCGACCAGCCCTTGTACTATTAATGCCGAGCGCCAGGCAGGGACCAACAAGTCCATATTTTAACGTCTTTATATGACGGGTGTCGGGGATCGAACCCGCGACCTTCCGGTGTAAATTACTAGAAATATGGAAAACTAAGTTGAAATGTACTTCACATGGGAAGAAGTATAGTTCCATAGGTCATAATCTTTTTATAAGGGATTTCATTATGATAAATGTACCCGTGAAAGTCCGGGTTAGAATACTTCAGTAACCCATGGCCATGCTTGTCATCCAGAAACTACGAAGACATTCAACCAAACGGCGTATCTCGAAAGTTATGGTTTGTGGAGAATATTTTGAAACAAATGCTGCATATTATGTGTAAGATATAGGGGAAATGATTTTGAACCAAAACCTTTAATGTATGTCCGTGTAATATTTGACTTAATGACTAAACGTAACACATGCTCTCAGGTTCTCAAAGACCAATCAGATTATGCATTCATTAAAGATATAACGAATGTGATTACAGTGTCTCGAATAAATATAAATACAACAGTTGGTTAGTTGCTTTGTTGTTTAATGCCGCACTCAGCAATATTCCAGATATATGGGGGGCGGTGGGGTAGCCTAATGGTTAAAGCGTTGGCTCGTCACGCCGAAGACCCGGGTTCGAATCCCCACATGGGTACAATGTGTGAAGCCCATTTCTGGTGTCCCCCGCCGTGATGTTGCTGGAATATTGCTAAAAGCGGTGTAAAACCAAAACTCAGTCAGTCAG